CACCCAGACACAAATCCGTGACAAGCAGCCTACATCATGTTGTAGTGTACTTTGCAGGCAAACAGTTCACAGCACGAAACATATGTCTTAAAGCTGTCAAAAGTAGAACTAGTATGAATAATAAGTTAATGCTGTTCAGCGGACTCCAATGATCAGTCTGCAAAATAAAAATGCAAAGAAATCCCCTGTGCTCAGGGTACCAGGTTCATGCCATGATAAGGATAATTGATGCCAATGATTAGTGTTGCTCATTGAAATGTAGTTTTATTGTACTATAGTATATAATAAATGGTTAAAAATAAAATAATAGTTTCAATTAATCACACAGGGATGCTATGGATGAGTGTTAACAGTGCAAACCAGTGTCAGTGAGGGTCACTCAGCCTCCTGGCACGCGACCAGCCAACACAAAGATGGCCAATGAAGGGGAGAATTGGATTCAGGGAGCACGCGGCATGCTGCCTCCACCCTTTATATCTCCATGGTGACAACGTTATAACGAATCGGTCGGGTCGTAAAACAACGTTGTCGGAATCATGGGTATCTAAAGAGTAGCAACGTTATAATGAAACAGCGTTGTCAGGGACAACGTTAAGCGAGGACTTACTGTATCACAGTGATTTCATTTATTGATAACAATGTTGTGATAATTTTGAACCATGCCTTGAGTTGCTGGTGAAGGTGGAGGGGTAGGAAAAAAAGTACAAGGAGATTGTACCACATGGTGATAGTGTGGTGCCTCCTGAGGCCTCTCCCAGTGTCCCTGGCCTTTCTAGTGCAAGTGATAGTTTGTCTGGCTCTTCAACAAGCAGTCCTAATATGAAAGAAACTGCCCAGCATGTTGTTGTGGCTAGAAGAAAAATAAAATAAGTGTTGCACACTTGGTACCTCTGCCATCACAGCGTGACTTACCTCGTGACCGCGTATCTCCCTCATAAGTGCGCACTACACGTACTCTCACTAAAACTAGATTTAGTCGCCTTGTTCAGGCTAAGGACGGCACTGTGGGGCACAGAGGAGAAAGGGAAAGGGCGGGAGGGGGGAGGAACATCACCAAGTGCTCCAACATCTAATATGTTAGTAAAGAAATTTATTTATTTTCATTAAAATATGTAATATTTTTATGCATTACATTTAACCAATAATTTACCATTATTATTTCATATGAATTTCGAAAATAATAAGCATTTATAAACACATGTATAATTAAAAAATAAAAAATAAAAACTTTGAATGAAGAACATTTGCGTTTGGGAGCCATGGCATGCACTACAATTTGTGCTATACTGTACTCGCACTTGCATATAGATTTAATAATTTTATTGTGATTACCTATTTAAAACTATTTGTAGATAGTGTATTTACAATGTTAATGCAACAAACCCAACCTTTTTATTTCCAATAGTAAGCTTGATATGACTTAATATGTACAATTATCTTTTGCGCTCAGAGGGAAAAAATGAATAATCTGTACTCAGCTTGGGCGTGCTCATCAGAACACACAATTTACATCAGTATTACCTCGTGAAATATTAATTTTTTCACAACTTTTCTTCTCTAACTATTTTTTCTAAACGTGCGCCTTATAGTGGAATAAAGTTCATATTGCAATCACATGAAATAACCAAAGTGATGTATATAAACATTTTCATTAAACAAAAACAAAATTTTGTGTTCTGCTCGCACTTACTTATAGAAATAATTATTTTGTTGTGATTAATTATAGAAAACTGTTTGTAGATAATTTATTTACAATGCTAATGCAACAAACCTGACCTTTTTATCTCAAATAGCAAGCTTGCCATGATTCATTACGTACAATTATCTCCTGTGTGGTGCAGTCAAGTGCAGTGAGGTTAGTGACCCACCAGACCCCGAGTGTCTTGCTGGAGAGTGCCTACCCAAACGTCAAGAGTGTTAAGGTTGAGTGGAGACATCAACCTGAGTCCCACACAGACTTTGGGGAGTCTGAAGAGTGGGGACTGGAGGTGTACCATGTAAGCCTTTGTCCTGGCAAAATGCTTGCCAGACATTTTCAAAGTTACAATGTTCACTTCTTCAGTCAAAAAAACATGATAATAATCATGGGAACTAAATTAATTTATGAAAATATTTAAGAAATGTTGCAGTGGAGGTGTGGTAGAGAATTAGTGGGTTTCATATGACTGACCTGACCTGATCAATGTCAGGTGGATGTGGGGTGGGGGATTAGTGGTCTCATGCATTGTCAGGTCACCCAATGTCAGGGTGAGGAATTAGTGTGATTAGTGAGTCTCATGACTTAAAGATGTCTTGAATAAAGATGAAAGTTAAGTAGCAAATATATTTATGGCTAGCAAAATAGTGAATAAACTTTTATTCATAACATCTGCTCCAATTGTGTAAGAGATATTAATTTGAGATACTGTATACTGTACAGTATTGTATATAAAGGGTACAGGTATTATAAAGCACAGATTATTATTGTAATGTATCTTTACTAATTAATGAATAAAAGATAAACGTATTGTATCATAATCACAAAATGAGTGGGAGAGGCAGGATTTGGTGAGAGGCGACCCTTGGCCGCATCATCAGTTTCTCCCCTCAGGGTCGTCCCCCCCACCCCCCTAACTGTATACTGTAGGTATTAACTTTTATTCACAGCATCTGTTCTAATTGTGTTGGAGAGATGAATTTGTTATCATAATGATCCAGAATAAATTCTCTACTAGACTTTTCCAATAAAAGATCCTAAACAAAATATTTTGATCCGATATAATGACGGGGACTCGATTCTTTTATAAAAAAACGTAAACAATGTTGGTACTGGACTATTAAATCAGTTCTAATTAACTTAGAAATGTATTTTTTTAACTTGAATAATCCTGAATGCAATACCCAAAACTTTGGTTAAATAAATATATTTGAAAAACAAAAAATCTAAATGATACTGGCATGCAAGGTGCATCTCATATGGACAGACACAAGTGTTGTATATATTAATGGAAACACCACTGTACATATACAATATATCATTATAAATAAACGAAATAATGTATATTACTACTGTACTGTCATCCTGAGTCTACAGTAGGAGTATGCTGTCCAATCTTCTGAATGTAATACGTAACCGATCACTGGTGATACCTGTTTTGGTATCACACTAGTTGTTTTAATTAAGTTCTGGAACTCTTGAGTGGCAGGGCTTGATGTAAACGCTTCTTGGCATTTTCTGTTTTATTGCCTATTTGCAGGTATATACATAGGTACAATCTGAGAGAATATATTGTGAATTCTCTCCAGGGAAGTGTTGGGAATAACACTTTGAGTTAAGTGCCCAGCTTCCCTGTCCAGTGGTAGTGAGTGAACTGCCACTCCCTGGGTGTAAGAGTGGGCTGGTTGTTTTGCTAAGTCAACTAACCATGGCTCGACCTTTGAGAGAGATGCAGGCCAAGTGATCTAGAGTCGTGAATAACATGGTGAATCACTTGGTGAATCACTAGGTGAATAACTTGGTGTTATTCATTTGGGTGCATATTTATATAAAGCAAAGGTGCTGTTACACACATTTTACATCTTTTAACACTTGCAGTGGTGGTGTTGGAGGGAATTAGTGGGTCTCATATTACTGACCTGATCTGTAGCAATGTCTGGTCCACCCATTGTATATTAACTCTTCTCTCATTTACAGAGGAAGTGGGGTGGGGGATTAATAGACTTATATTACAGTATTGACCTGATGGAATGTCAGGTCACCCATTGTTGGGGTGGGGGATCACAGTGAAAGCACTTCATAGTCAGGGCAAAAGCACTTCACAGTCACAAAAACAGAGCAAAATGTGAACTTTAGTTATATTCTATCACAGTGAGGTAAAAAACACTGATGATGACTGATAAACATTGAGATCCATTTCTTATACATATGTAACCAAGAAGAAACAATGCCTGGTGTATAGTTCACCAGATGGCCACGAGCAGCGTTCGGGTAGATGACGCCTTGGCTGACAAATGAAGTGAGTGATGCATTCTATATTCTGAGTTGGCGGGATGATGAACATCGTTAATGCGAGTTTGTTTACATCGCAAATAGGGGAGTAGCCTTAATATACCAGCGTCCTCAACGTGAATTAACATAGGTGGTGACATCGTAAATAGAGGTTTACCTTTATGTTCTTAATGTTCAGATTTTATTCCTACTGATTTTAAGGTTTCTGTTTATTGCACATCCTAAATATAGTAATTATTTAAGGTTCTCCAAAAAAATATGACCGAATTTATTTTCAATAAAAATGTGTCTAAGTAGCATTATTAACATCTTCTACACCATAAGAATTTTCTTTATGTCTGTGTGCCTGAAGGAGATGGTACAGAATGGAAACTGTGTTGAAAAAATGACAAATGCTTTAAAGATTTGGAAATTAATTATCAGAGACATGAAAGTTACTCAAGAAAGGAGAAGGATACGGAATTACAGTCGAGGAAGTTTTTAGAGCTTTCACAAACTATCAAATTTTTTCTTCGATTTTTAATTATTTCGCCACTTATCGGCTTACTAGCCATTCAGGCAGTTGGTCTATCCAGTGTTGTTACAGGAGGAAACCAGAGTCCGGTAAACCTGTGATGTTTGGTAGTGAGGGTAACACTGGATAACATCCTTCTCAATTGTGTCCATGCCAAGCAGGACTCGAACCCTTGGCATATTGGTGAGAGTTACATGTGTTAATGCTGCACTAGATAATATAAGTGTGTAGGGAGGATGATGATAACGTGAGACAATGAGGGTTGGTCTTCCACCACCTGACAGTGTGCGTAGTTATTTGATTAGCTTAGGAAATGTGTTTTTACACCAATTTGTTTAGAATATTTGATAATACAACAACAAGAATTTGAGAGATAAATAAATCAAATGTTTAATTGTGAATGAACTCTTTCAAAGTGTATGTTTTGGTAAGTTGAAGGATTGTAGAAAAATACATCAGAAGGATGATTATTTTTTATATTAATAATCTCTTTTTAAGTTGCAGGAAACGTTTAAGCATGGAAGGTTCTAACACTGGGTCCAGTAATTCCCAAGGCTCTGTGAATAAACCACCATCAAAAAAGAAGAAATCGAGTAGTAGTGGGGGCAGTGGCAGCAGTCTTAGTAAATCTAGCAAACAGACTGGGAAGCAGGTACAGTACCCTGTACTGTAATAGAGATACAGGGAATCCTTGCTGTATTGTATGTTGTTTTGATGAATGAGGGAACATTTAGGCACTCCCTGGGTCATGGATTGGTTCTGTTCCTTTTGGCTATCCATCAGCCGGTAGTGACCCTTCCATTGGTAATCATTGAACACACATAGTATATATGAGGTGCTCAGCATCAGAAGGGGGTGAAGCGCCAAATTTAAAAAATGGAAAAAAAAAATGCATTTAAAGTTTTTTGAAGTTCAAACAACCATAACTTTGTTGTTTTTTAAGCTAGAGGGTTCATTTTTTCATCGTGCAGCTCAATCCCTCTCCGAGCGAACTGTGAAAACTGGAAGTTAGGATTGTGAATACAGTAATTCTTATTTTATCGTGAGTTGAATGAAAATAACTACCCATCATGTATGGTTGTTTGATCTTCAGACCAACAATATTCGCATTTTTCTGCATTTTTTTTTTATTGTGGGCTAATACTGTAAAACAAGTTAATGATCACCAAAAACAGCTCTCATCTTACACCCACCCCCCCATAAACCCCCCAAACCCACCCCCCAAAATTAAATAATAATAAAAAACTCATTTGCCTATCAGTATTTATCTTATCGTCCCTATTATTACCCAAAGATTTATAATATTGTTAAGTTTAATAGTGTGTAATAATAAGGAAACACCACTGCACTCATCCCCCCCACCATTAACCTCTCCCCTCCCCCCCAACTAATACAAAGACGGAGAAAGTTTGCATATTATTTAGTAAAAACAGTATTATGATAATAGTACTGTATTACAATCTTACTTTGTTTAGTTCCTTCGTTTTATTATCCCTGAAGATTGTAGTAAGTTGAAGTTACGTAAATCCTGAGGAGTGCGTATAACTTTAATGGCCTCATCATAATCAAATTACATTTACCCGGTATGCTTGGCAACCTCCTGTGCCCACTCGTCAATGCTACGCTGTCTCATCCTGCCTTTAGTTTCTATATGGCCTTGGGGGTACGCTCCTGACCCCTGCAATTTGCATCACATGGTGCTCCACCACCAACACTAGGCTCCCCAACATCACCAAGTAGCTCATCACCAACATTCTCATGCACGTCACCTGCACCATCGCCAGTAGCACTTGCATCACCATACTCAACACTAAATTCACCACCAAAATCACAATCACCAAGCATGACTGGGGTGTCCACGTGAGCACTGTCGTCACTAAACACACGCTCAGGATTTAGGGCTCCTGAACCCCACCAGAAGGCCTGGCCTCACTTGAGTCTTGCTCTAAAATTGGGCAGACATTACACAGCACTTCTCACACCCATGAAACACGAATAACGTCAATGTTTCGCAGAAAATTTATCAAATATAGCAGTAGAAAGTACACTTATGCTATACAACGCGGCAAATCTAACAAAGAGGCAGCATCTGGTCACGTGGATTGGCCGAGGAGCTGTGACGTGGCAATGGAAATCCATTGGGATTGGCTGACTCGGGGTATGGTCCGCTGGAGGCGCACTGTCATTGGCTCGAGCTGAACGGGATGTAGCCATCTTCATTTACTGAGCACACAGCCAGATACGTAGCTCCCGGCATGAGGTGAAATGACACCCTATTTTTGAAGGGCTTTCAACCATATTTCTATTCTAGCTAGAGGGTTACATCTAACGCCAGCATGTAGAGGAAGGGTGAAAATAGTGATATCCATTAAAAAACGCATTTTGCCTGGGATGGAGCTTCACCCCCTTCTAATGCTGAGCGCTTCATATAATGTAGTAGTATCTCCATTAGCCGGAATCCCTCAAACCCAGAACTCTCCAATAGCCGGAATTGAAATTTTCCGGAAAATTTTGGCTTTGTGAATGATTTTCCGAGGGGCACATTTTCCAAACAATTATTAGTCATTTAAAAATTTAGTTAGCATATTGATAATATATGCAGTACAGGAAACTAGTTTTTTGTGCGCCCATCAGCTGCTTGACTCAGCCACCAGGCATCAGTTTGGGTTTGTTGACAGTGGAGTGAAAATCGATTTTGTTGGTGTGTAGGTATTCGTGGTATAATGTTCTCTAGCACTCAGGATGGATGGAAACTCTAATGTGGTTTTCTTGTATAATATAAGTTATATGATAGACAGTCTGGTGCTGGAGGTGCCGTGTGGTGAGGAGCTGCTCAGTGGAGACGTTCGGTGAGTAGCGTGTTGAAGGAGGTAGATGTGCAGGAGCTTCGTTAGAGAAGATGTTGCCTGTTGCTGGCCTCCTGGTTGAATGAATGCTGACAGCGTGGAGCTTGCTGGAGGAGGTGTTGCTTGTTCAAGAAGAGAGACCGGAATGAATCTCAATGGAGAGACAGAGCTTATATACCCAGCAGCCGTGAGTCCTCTATGAGTCATGTTGGGAAAACCCGAGAAAGTCGCCGGTCTTTGGTTCGTTGCTAGGTTACGGTAACATCTGCTGTCGCCGCTCGCTTGGTTGCTAGGATACGGCGGCGCATCGGAATGCTGATACGCAGTTGTAGGGGAGATGTCCACTACAGGTGTCTTGAATATTTTTGCATTTTAACATTAAAATTATTGGTCATTCTGAAATTTAGTTAACATATTGATAATATATAGCGCAGTGCAGTTTTGATTTAAATAAAATAATCTTGAATTACACCTAGTAAACTTAAAATTTTATTGGTGAAATGACTGCATCAAGCATGGGTCCTCTAAAAGGTGATTTCTCCTCCATCCCCACTTCTTTCACTTCTCCCTTCTCCTCCACCCCCACTTCTCATTCCCATCATCATCATCATCATCATCAACCAGGAACCTTCTACATACACACCTCAAAGTAAGTGTACTTACTGCATTTTTTTTTTTTTTACTTTCTATGTACTTTTTCTGTGAGCTGGAACCAATTACTCCAATATCCCATTGAAACAATGGATTCGTTAACGAATCCACTCCCTCTGGAACTTAACTGTGTCTATTGACCGAGGGACTACTGTATATATATATATATATATATATATATATATATATATATATATATATATATATATATATATATATATATATATATATATATATATATATATATATATATATATATATATATATATATATATATATATATATATATATATATATATATATATATATATATATATATATATATATATATATATATATATATATATATATATATATATATATATATATATATATTATAATTTGCTATAACGCTTTACACTGTGTTCTTGTAAAATATCGTATATAGAAAATCGCGTAATAGAAATAACAGGGCTTATGGAGAAAATAGGGTTAGGTGCAGATTACTCGAAATTGAAAAAATTTAGTAGTTAGCCTAACACAAAGGATAGCACAGTCTAAATAAATGTTACATTCATATCTAATAATGAAATCATACAGTAAATATAACACTTTACTTGATGGGGGAGAAGGGTGATTTTGAGGTTGATAAAATCGAGCTTCTCTTCAAGTGTTATATCCTTTCTTTTCGATCATCACGAGAATTCTATCACCCAGAGCAGCTTCTTGTTGATATTCTTCTTTACTATATACAGTTAATACAGTGGACTTATTCTATTGGGATTCTACTACGAATATTCCTATGTAACAGTTTCCTATAAAATTGAGAATGCTATAACTGAGCAGAAACTCTCTAACAGACATTATTTAATTTTTTTTTTCTAATTTATTGTTTTTATTACAAATATTAATGATATTCTTTATTTCAGGGTTTAGATGCATCTTTACTTTTTACAATTTTAATTTTATATTATATTTTTCAGTGTTAAGTGGTTGTATTTGGGGGCCTGGGCGGATTAATCCTATAACGAACAATGCTATAACGAACAAGGTTCTAGAACCAATTAGATTCGTTATAGCATACACTTTACCACAAATTGGAAATAGTGAGCAAAATACATTATAACAAAAAGATGTTGCATTATACAAATATAGTTCCTAATTAATACTCATCGTTAGACCAATTACGTTATCAAAACCCGTTATGGCAGAACTCACTGTGTATATATATATATATATATATATATATATATATATATATATATATATATATATATATATATATATATATATATATATATATATATTATATATAATATATATATATATATATATATATATATATATATATATATATATATATATATATATATATATATATATATATATATATATATATATATATATATATATATATATATATATATATATATACACATACACATACAGTTGGTCCTCATATTACCTTGGTCATTCATTTCAGATTAACGGTGCCTTGCAAACCTAACATTTTCATTCATGATGCGTGAACCTTATTACGGGAGAAGCGGCAAGCAGCGCATTTTACTGGATCCAAACCTCCGCCATCAGGCATGTTGTAAGACGCGAAAGCTAAGTGCGCCTGAATTAACCCATTATCAAAACATGACCAGTTCATTCACTACACCCACTACAGCCGCTTAGGTCAGTGATAGTGATAATTATAGTGAGGATATGGACTTATATGAACTTTGGGGGTTTGAAAAGAGGCCCTACAAGCCTCTGTGGTGGATAGTGATACAATTGATACAAGTGATACAGGTGAGGCCAATAATCTGCCCTCTGCCTAGAACCAACGCCCATCGTGTGCCCAGCCATCTTTTCTACTAATGTAGTGTTAAAACCTAATATTATTGATATTTCTCTTATTATAGTGTGTGCATGCCATCATAAAGTTAAGATAATATTTTTACTACAACATAGTTGTGTGTCGTCAAAGTGGAGTTTGGGGAATCAGGCCAGTCTCTATTGAAATTAACCCCATATGTTCTGTTGTTCATAGCAGTTTTCATAACACGGTCCCTGTAGGTGCAATTGGACACGTTAAGCGAAATTCTACATGTATATATATATATATATATATATATATATATATATATATATATATATATATATATATATATATATATATATATAT